ATCTTTTGCTTTTTAAGCTTGTAAGATCTTTTCTTTGTCCACAGAATTTTAAAATTTTACTTTGATGTACCATATTGTAGGTTGTTTTTCATCTATTGTTTTGGTCATTCATTATCCCTTCTCAACTTGGAAACTTAACACTTTTCAATTCAGGGAATTTCTTGAATTATTTCTTTGATTCTTTTCAAACCTACTTTCTTTTTCTTTTAACATCTGTTATTCAGGTATTGAACCTCCTGGATTCAATCAATAATTCTTACACAAATTGTTCGTGATGGGTTGCAATCCCATAGTGTTGTCTGCACTCTTCCCATTTCCTCCCTTTGGTTCCCCGTTTCCATTCATCCAGTTTTCCTGGCCCTCCCTGCCTTTTCATCTTTGGTTTTGGGCAAATGTTGCCCTTTTCATGTCATATAGTTGATTTTTCTAAGGAGAACATTCTTTTTTTTTTTTTTAATTGTGATTTGGGTGAAAGTTTATAGAGCAAATTCACTTTCCATGCGTCAGTTCACATACACTTTGTCTAATGACATTGACTACAATTTACCCCAATGTAACAGCTCCCCTCCCACTTTCTCCCTATAGTTACTTCTTCCCTGTGTCCTTCCCTCCATGCACTCCTGCCCCCTGAGCTATGTCCCTGTGTATACACAGCCCTTCTATTCTCCCCATGATTGTTCTCTCCAGGGAGTATATCTATCTAGTGTAAATGTTCAGCTCATATGCCTGTCTTTTGTTTGGCTGGAAGCCACAGGTGTGGGTTCACTTCCAGACTTGAAGGGCAACTAGGGGCCATAGTCTCAGGGGTTCCATCAGGCTCTCTCAGACCAGCAAACCTGATCCCCACCACCTTTCTTCCAAATGCCTTTGAGTTTTTTTCCACAATGTTCTCCTACTCGATCCAGGATCTCCTACATTGATCTCCCTCCGAGTGGTTGACAGTGGTAGCTGGGCACCATCTAGTTCTTCTGGTCTCATAGTCAAATAGGCTGAGGATTGCATGGTGTACCAGTC